AGTACAGTCAATATTAATATTAGTTACATAAGAAAATTTTCGAGAAAAATTACTTTAAAGTTTAATTACTTCAAATTTGTATAGTGATAAAAATAGCAGTAGCCATGAGTAACTATGGTAACCAATTATTCTAAACAATTCCCTGAGTGTCAAAAACTGATTTAGTAAAGCTTCTTGAAGTGTAGTGGCGCGCCATCTTGTTGGAATAACTGCCGTTGGAATTGAGTTGTGTCAACATTATCCAGATGGAAGGAATGACATCGCTTTGAAAAAATTTAAACATCTCTTTCCACTTAATGTTTCCTCAAATCTTTTGCGGATATTGGGTGTGCGACTTTCTTGGATAATTTGGATTTTGGGTAGTGCAATACCAACAACTTTGTCTATTTACTTGTCCACTCAATGTAAATGTCCCTTCGTCGAAAAAATTATGTTTTTGACAAAGTCTTCGTCATCGTTGCAAAATTGTTGCTGCAAAAACTACGATTCATTGCTCGTGAATCAGGTTTACTTTATGGGAATGATATTTTGCGGGTTCTAAAATTTTATGAACCGTTAATTTACTAATGTCGAAATTAGACACAATACTCGTTACAGTAACATGAGTGTTTTCTTGCCCAGCCAAAACCACGATTTGTTGAACTTCCCTTGCAACATTTAGTAGGCCAGACTTCGAGAAATACTTCGAGAGATGGCCATGCTGTTTAAATTTAGTCACAGCTAGGCTCACCATACTTTGGCTAATGAGTTGGCGATCAAGATATGTTGTATTAAAGAGGTCAACTACTTACTACATCAGTTTTTGACACTTAGGAAATTGTTTAAAATAATTGGTTACCATAGTTACTCATGGCTACTGCTATTTTCATCATGTCAACAAATCTGAAGAAGTTAAACTTTAAAGTAATTTTCCTCGAAAATTTTCTTATGTAAGCAATGTTAATATTGACTGTATTAGATTCAGAACAAGATCTTCTTTTATATTCCGTAATAAAAATGGGGGATTGCCATTTGAAAAAAATGCCGATGACGTCATAACTCGCTTAAAAACGGCGGAAGAAATTTAAAATCTACACCAAACAATTGTAAAAAATTTTAATCTCTAGACCCGTTTCAGGGATTTTTCCATAAACCGTTTATAATGATTTTATCACCTATATCCGTTACTTTACGGACACACTGCATATGGAGTTTCAAACGAAATAGTTTGTGATTCTGGTACTGAATTTACAAATAGTATGGTTAAAGAGCTATTACATTGGTACACCTCGAAATCCAATTTCCAATAGTTTAATAGAACTTACCATCTTTTTTACTTCTACTTTTTTTTTGGAAATGTAATGAAATGAACTATAACTTTAAAGGATTACGTTCATGGAATCAAATTTATAGGGTGTATCTGAATGACGTGCCCAAACTTCAGGGGGTGATTCTTTAGGCAATTTTAAGGGTACTTTCTCATATAAACTATCAGCGATTTCGACTCCCTTGCGGAGCTACGCTCCTTCAAAAATAGCAAAAAATTTTGGTTTATTTTATTTTTCTTCCCGAAAACCATTAACACCAAGAAAATGAAATTTGGGAAATATGTTTAGCTTATAATAAGGCATGTTTCGAGCCTATTTGTACTTTCAATCTTCCCTTCTAAGTTACTAAACATAACCACCCCCGTTCAATTTTTGTCTAGATCTTTTTTATGACGATGATAAATACATTGGAAATATTTTATTTAGATAGACGAAAATCTTCTAAAACTTTTTTGCCTCTCTAATGTTCTTCGAAAAGTTAATAGTTTCTGAGAAAAAAATTAATTAAGCAAACACTAACTGTTAAGCTGTAGCGTTGTTAATCGAAAGTTGGAATGAATTTTTAAAGAAAAAATCTTAGCAGGCTTAGCAATCTTTGTCAGAAATATTTTTGACGTTTAAATGTCAGTGGTTTTATTACTATTATTATTGTTTTATTTAAAATTTTGAAACGTCGAATGAACGAGCGTAAATGCGGTAGATCTTAATTCATAAATTAATTTGAAAAACAATAATAATAGTAAGAAAACCACTGACATTTAAACGTCAAAAATATTTCTGACAAAGATTGCAAAGCCTACTAAGATTTTTTCATTAAAAATTCATTCCAACTTTTGATCGACAACCCCGTTGTTGAACGGGCAATGTTTGCTTTATTATTTTTTTTCTCAAAAATTAGTCGTTTTTGGAAAAATTTTAGAGAGACAAAAAAGTTTTAGGATACTTTCATCTACCTATGTAATTTTTTTTAAATGTATTTATCCTCGGCATAAAAAAATTTTAGCAAAAATGTAAAGGGGGTGGTTACGTTTAGTAGTTTAGAAGGATAGGTTGAAAGTACAAATAGGGTGAAAACGTGCCCTACTACCAGTTAAACATATTCCCCAAATTTCGTTGTCCTAGCATTTATGGTTTTTGAGAAAAAAAAATTAAACCAAAATTTTCCGCCATTTTTGGAGGGGTGTAGCTCCTTAGGGGAGCCAAAGTCGCCCATGGTTTATATATCAAAGTACCCTTAAAATTGCTTAAAGAATCACCCCCTGAAGTTTGGGCATGTCATTCAGATACATCCTCTATAATAGATGTACCAATACTTTAGCGTGAAACTGTACTCATGTTGCGATAGGACAACGCTGATTCAAGTTTACGTAAATCAAGTGTTAACTGCATCATACTTAAAATATTAAATTATTTTTGTAATTAAATACTGCTCAACAAATGCATAAAAAAATAATAAAAATAAATTATATTAAAAATGTAAAATAATTTAAATCATGCCATCTATTAATGGGAAACCAAACTATACTTGCCACCAGAAGTCGTTTCAGTGACGCATAAGCTCTTTCGTTGACTTCGCATTACTCGTACGTGACATCTGAACGCCATTCTTGTTTTACTTTCGACGAAGAGTTGATGGCGAAGCCTTCTTTTGTGGTGTTAACGGTTTTTTCATAAACAGCGCTGTAGAAATGTCCAAATATTGCATATGGAATGTCTCTTGTCACGTTTACGTCAAAACTTCCGTCAATTGTCATCGAATAAAAACAAAAAAGAGGCAGATTTTCAATTCTGCATTTCGGAAATGATTAAGAAGAAGATGTCGGCATGGATGAGGTAAGAATTTTTATAAAAAAATGTAAAATGAATAGAAAACTTATATTATTTTATAATAGTAAATGTATTCTTAACCCTTTGTCTGTAAACGGGTTTTTAGCACCGGCCGTTTTTTCATCCTGTTAATGCACTCAAACAATTTTATAAACAATTCATGATAATGTTCGAAACCTTCAACTTCATAAATCAAACATAAAATTATCGCAAAATTAATTTTTACATACATATTTTTTTATATGAAATGAGGAAATTATTTGCCTAAACAGTTGTAGGTGGACAGGAAATATCCAGGTTTACAGAGGAAGGGTTAAAATGGGCACTTACTTACTTACTAGACGGTTTAGTTTTACTAGAATTTACTTACTAGAAGTTTCTTTTCATTATTTTTCCTGGCTGCTACTTTGGGCTTATTCTCTTTTGCATCCCAAATAAATGAATTCAATTCCAGCAGCAGTGATTTCTCCAACAACATTACGTGCCACCTCACTATGCTGTTTCTGTTATTTAAACCAATTATTTCCCAATTGATTGGACTGAAATATTACCAGATTTGACTCTGCCGGACTTCTTCCTTTAAATTTACATCACTTCGACCAAATACTTCGGTTGAACAAAAAGTCAGAATCCTAGAAAAAGTTCAGGGAATAATTCTTGATACCTTAGGGAATTATTAAGAAGAATTTAAAAACTGTTTAGGAGTTGCCCAAGGTATACTATTTGAACATTTAATTTTTTATTTATTAATTTCAATAAAACTTCAATGAAATATACAATTTCAATTTCCCTAATGCTACTTTATCTGGCTTCCCATGGTATCAAGATTACGTCACACTTCCTCAGAAATCTATCATTCTGATAGATAAAAAATACATTGAGGACATTTACTTCTGACTAGTTACAATAATACATTTCTATAGTTATAAAATGTGAAATATATTTTTATCTAATTTTTCTTTTGTATTTTAGATGAGGCCTTTAAAAATATAGATGGTACCAATTTTTCTCAGTTGTGCACCAGTTAACTGTGCACTGAAATTACAAACACCTTCAAGAAAGTTATTTTGAACAGCAATATAATGGCACCAACTATGGTTTTCATGTAGTCTAACTTTTGAAGACAATTCCTCAGTTTAACAGGTAATAGTTTAATTTTTTTTTTGTTAAATTTGTTCACAAATTATTCAAGATAAAATTATAATCTTTTTTGTATATCAGCAACTTTTGGTGTCGATTGGACTCGACTCAGATTTGAATAATATTGAATACTTGACTTGATTCTCATGAATCAATTCTGACTCAATTCCAATGCTTTAATAGTAAACTCAAAAAATAACTTTAAAAATTAAAATCAGCTCCAACAATCGCCACACTAGTTAATATGTTAACAATAATCATTCTGTATTATGACTTAAAATCATAAAAAAATCTTGTAAGTTTTCTTTCGATAAATCGCAAAATTGCTTGATCTTGAAAAAATGTGTGCATGACATAGTTTTTATCTGTTCAAAGAAAAGTTGATGGTATATAAGGTTCCTTCTATAACACATATTGTGCTAACTTGAAACCATGTTATACGAGATTTTATTATTTATTTAAATAATTATTTTATTTATTTGTTAAATTAATTATGTCCATGTTAATTGTAAAGTTAAACCTTTCTGTCTTCTTATTTGTTATTCTTATGCAATTAGTTTATGTAAACGATTGTTAACTGCAACTCAGTGACGACTTTTTCATATTAAAAATAAGATTTAACAGTCTCTGAAGATAATATAAAGTCGATATTTTTTTTATAAGATTCGTATATTAAAAAGTGTTACTTATTCAATTAAACTACGTGAGTTACAAATTAGTGAAAATCTCAAGTGACACAAACACTTAGGATTCTAACTATGATATTTGCTTCTTTTAAATGTTATTTGTCGCAAACAATCTTGATTTCCATAATAGAGAGTGCAATGAGAATACAAGAAAAATTTCAATATTTACATATTAAACTTTTGGCTTGATTCCATCAATTACTATTTTGAATCTTGCATTAGTAGCTATCACCATAACTTTACTTTTCGATTTGTTCATCTTCATTCCAAAATCGTTTGTACTCTCATTCGATTTATTTATATTAAAATTTTTATTTACTTCTTTTTCGCCTCTAGTCACGATAATCACGTCATCCGCGAATGCTCCTTCTAGAACTTCTTTTTTTATATTCGACAACAAATTTTTTTATCTCTTTTTACACTTTTTGTTATCTCGTCCATATAGGTTATGACTTGGGTTGGATTCAATCCTCCGCCTTGTAAAGACCTTCTTGCCACACTTGCTGTAGTACATGCAATAACACTTCTGTTCCTTGTGATCCCATATATTTTGTCATTTTTGTGGTTAATCTATCTTGACCAAGAGCTTTTTCATTTTTTATTCTATTGTTACCGTTTCCAACTCTTCCATGCTTATCTGCTCACTTGCTTCTGTTTCTTTTTTGTGGTACAGGGGCCGGTAACTTTATCTCATTTTGACCATTTACGCTTTTATCCTTTACAGCTTTAGTCTCAACTATTTGTTTTCCTAGAGAGTCTTCCAAGGTTTTAATATTTTAAAAAAGAACTTTTGTTTTTTCTTGCTGTATCTCTGCAGCTTTATCTCCGAACTCTGTCTAATTTTGCTTATTTGCCTCAATCACAATTTCTTTCACTTTCTTCTGTTCCCTCTTTAATCATCATAACTTTCACGTCTTTGTTTTCTTTAGATAAGTTTTCTTTATCGCCCATCTTTCATTTAACCCATTAAGGACCAGTGATACCACGTTCTCTGGTATATCTTAACTGTTGTTGACACTAATAAGGCTTCCTACAAGTTTCCATCTAAAATCCAACTGAGAAATTGGTTTGCCTGTGCATTTTCAAGCATTTACTAGTGCGGAGTTTAACATATTTATAAATAACGGCCGCCACCATTTTTTTTCCTGGTAATAGTATTTCAAATGTTCTGACAATGTCAGATGACAAATCTTGTATTCCACCGATAGTTTCTTCATCAATATCTTCCTCATTGGTCAAACTGTTAACTTCGTTTGAAACATAACAAATATCAATTATTTCGTTGATTAAGCATTAAAGGCCTTTTTGGATTATATTGATATTTCACCTTACTCTAAAGTCGCTAATATACCCTGACGCATATATATTTATACCACTACAAAATTGTATATACCATCATAAAATGTTCTTGAGTCACATATTGTGATGCATGCACTCACTTCTCCACACTTACTACAAAAATTATAATGTTATATGTACATAGTGAACTTTTTTTAAGCATTACTGTGAAAAGAACAAAAAGGTGTCAAAAAAATTATATTTGCGTAAACAATTTTTCTCTTCTCTTTACCTAAATGCAATAAAATATGTATTTAAATGCTTTATTTATTACTAGCAATAATATTCCCAATTTTGTCGTAATTTGGGGCATAAATTATATTCCTTCTTTTTATTATAGACAGTAATTTTTAATTTTTATTTAATTAATCAACGACTCTGAATGCCGTCCTAACTAACTATTTGCAGTCACAAAAACAACTTCAGACAAATTTACGAATGCAATTCATATATATACCTACTGGTAGTTATTAGGTCCCAATGTTGCGTTATCGCAACGTTCAACTTCAAACGAATATTATTTTTCTGATGTAACGGTTTTGTTTTCCGTTACTTATATTTTTGTGTTTGGTTAAAATTTTTGGTCATCTGAATTTCTTTTAAATTTTAATTTAAATTGTCGTTGGAGACTGGTTGTGAGGTTGTCGCTTTTTGATTGGTTCGAAGATGGTTTGTAGCGAGTGACGGGTGGTTGATTTCTTGATTTGCCAGCAGGGGGGTGGCACGACATAGGAATAAATTTATCTAAGTATGTAGTTCCATGTCACATCGCTGGATGGCGCTACCGTCGGCGTTCGGCAATGTTCGGCATTGTTCGTCCTTCCCGAGGTTTAATAATTGAAATTTTAATCACTTATTTTATAAATTGCTATAATATGTTGCCTAAGTAATGTATATATGAGAAAAAAATTATATATGTAATTATCCTGTATTTGTATGACTTTTTGAGAATAAATATCAAGAAAAAGAAATCGTAGAATCGTCATGGCGGTATTAGTGACTAATAATTAGTCATAGTTCTTGCTTGACGCGTTCGCTTCACTTCGTTTTAGCTCAAGTGGAACTACGTTTGTATATCTCGTTATTGTGTTTTATAATAGTGATACTTAATCTGTGAATAATTATGCCTGCAATCGCAGTAAGTATAAGATTATCCTAGCAAATATATAATTATAATCCCGTCACAAGGTCATAATATAATAAAAATTAACTTAGAAAGATTAGTGGATATTTAATTTATGTGATTTTAGCGATTATGATTTATTGATTTATTATTGATTTATGTGATTATGCTTTTAGCTAATTCGAGTAATTAATTCTTATATAAATAAAATATTTTGAACTGGTTAGGCCACTTCATTTACTCCAGAGAATATAGGGTTACAATAAATATTATTTGATTGTAAATAAATGAAAAGTTAAAATCTTATTAATTTTTTTATTAGCAAATAACTATTAAATAAATAATTATGTCCCCGATAAATTGATAAAATTCTTAAACTTGTAATTTATAAATCATGACCAGAATCATACAATTCAACCAGATTCAACATAAGTAATTAATAATAACTTTTTTTATGTTGTTATCCTCACATAGTAATAATTATATTTAAATAAGTAAAGTAAATTAAATAACTAAAAAAATCTTGATGTTAAGTTCTTAACAAGTTCTAAAAGTATTATTTAATGCTTATTATTTTAGAAATTTATATTTTAAATGTCTAATAAATCCTAATCTACAGAGTTGTGTGGACAAACAGTGTCCGACAAATTCATTGCCGCCCAGAGATCGACAACTCTTCTGCTTTCCAAGATCAGAAGATCTGCGGCGGCAATGGTTGGAAAGAATGAGCAGGCCAGATCTCATGGAGTTGTCACATGCTCAATTACATGGGAGAAGGCTGCGCGTTTGTGAGCGCCATTTCAACGGCAATCAGTTTCAGACGTCAGACCGGAAGAAGTTAACTGCACACCAAATCCCTCGACGTGCAAATTTAGAAGACAATCCCGATTCTCCTGCCAATACTCCATCCGGTACATCCATTCCCTGCATGTCTTCTAAATTTGAGACTCCTAAGTTGAGGAGGTGCAAAGGTAAATATTTAATTAAGTACAACATAGTAATTAAATACAATTTCGTATTAATGTCATTTTCAGGTCGAACATCACAAGTTACTCCGAAGGAGCGGAAGCTGTTGGCCAGGTTAAAGAACGCTGAAACCATTTTACGTTATCGGAAGAAGCGTATCCAGTACTTGTCTCAATCCCAAAAAGTTTATCCAAATCCCTTTTCCCCATCTAGCTTAACCAATATCCAACAAATACATACCCTACCTAAACCTCTCCGTGTTTTTATTCTTTCCCTCCTTCGAAATTTCCATGTATCCAAAAAAAACCGCCGTTATACCTTAGAAGAGAAAGCCCTATTCCTCTCCATTTTCAAACACGGTCCCCGCTCCTACCGATACCTGCAAAAGATCCTTTCCCTACCGTCTACAAGAACATTAAGACGATCCCTTGCAACTTTCCAACTAACCAGCGGAATCAACCTAAATTTATTTACCTATCTGAAGAGTGTTTCAAGTAAAATGGCTCTCCGTGACCGTTTCTGCACACTTATGTTTGATGAGATGGACACTGGAAAGAATTTGAATTTGAAGGTAACTGAAAATAGTTCTAATCGTTGAGTAACGATAGTCATTTTTATGTTACGCTACGTAAACGTTATAAGAAAGCGTGGTTATTTAAGAAAAAGTCTTCAATTGTTGAATTTTTGGTTGTGATAAGGCTTTTTCGTTACGTTATTGTGGATTTGGACTCGCTTTTCTTTGGAAATCATATCGATTTACGCCGATGTATTCGGATTTAAAACGTTAAACACGTGAGACGTTCTTTAAAGCCGCCTAAAAACTAAGGTACGTTATTCTATTGTGTAGATTTTGATTAATAATTGGATTCTTTTCTCATTGTAGACTTTTTTTTTTACTTTTTTTATCTTCGTTTTCATTTGCAATTTTATTTCTACTTTCATCTTTTGAAATTGCTATTGCTGCGTCATATAATTTTTTTGTGAAAATGGTTTGGTGACATTTCAACCTTTTGAAACCTTGGAAATATCGAATGGGTTGGCATCTCTGGTTGAAAGTTTGGATTTGTTGACATTAACCTACAAGACGTAAATTTGGTGAAACTTGGAAATTTGGAACTTGGAAGTTTGGGGGAACAGAGAAATTTTGGAGAGAAGGTGAAGATCTGATTATAGAATAAATTAAGTGATTCAGATAAGATATATATATATATATATATATATATATATATGTTTAACATTTTATTTACTGGATAATTTTCTTATAATTTTTTATTGTTGTTGAATCATAATTACAATTTTTTTTTTCTACTTGGTCGCATTTGAGGTCGCAATATTTTGATACGTGATTGTTGATTTTGTTTAAACGAATTTCGTGTAGCTACATCGAATTGGTTTGCGATCAATTATTGATTAATTCTTTTATTTCACAGGTTTGGGATATTTGGGGGTTATGTTTTGATTTTTTTATTTTCATATGCGATCTTGTTTAATCTTTACATGTGTAACTTCGATGAAATCTATTATTTGCTTAAACATTTATACTGAAACGTTGTTATCTACGATTGAGAGGAATTGATATTATCAATATATGTATGTTTACCAACATCATTTCAATATTATTTCTCCGATTAATTGACTTGTGTGAATGTATTGTTCGTTTATGTGTCTCTGGTTTCGGATTTTATTGGAGTGTGTGGTATATTTCTGGTACGAATCAAGGGATAAAATCCGTGGCGCCCTTAAAAAAAAATAGATCGAACTCACCCGTCTCCACTGTTTCAAAGCTAGCTTGTGGTAGGGTTTCTATCGGGAATTGCTTTGTTTGTGTGTAAGTAAGGCGCGACACTGATCAAAAATCAATGCTTTTAAATATTTAAAAAAATCATTTTGCGAACGTTGCGTTAACGCAACTATGGTCCTAAATGGGTTAACTTAATCTATTTTCATCCACTTTCTTTGATAGAATTTCTTCATACTTTTTCCTAATTATATCCTTCCGGAATAAATATATAAATTTGTATTTGTTGATAAACAATTCTTCCCTGAAAGCACTAATAATTTGCAGCTTTCAGGATAATTTCATATTTTCCCTGCATACCTTTATAAGTTTATTTTATATACTAAATATATGTATCAGCAATAGATTCAATTGAAAAGATATTTTTAAATATTCAAATTACAACAAATACAAGTGTAACAAATCTCCGTTCTAACTTCTGTCGCAGATCATTCTGTCTCCATAATCGTGTTTTCTTCCATGATTTCATGGTCAAGTTATTTGCTTTCATTATTACCCAACACGAAGATATCATCTTCGTCTTCCAACAGACAAGTTTGGTTTAAATTAACAGTAATAATGAAACTATTAAAAAGTTATAGCAGAAATGAACAACCAATTATAATTTTCTACTACTACGCACCATGTGGAAGCATTTGCAATAATAATTTTTTCTAATAATTATGAAGTATGGAATACTGCATATAAATTAATGAATTACAATACTTATCAATTAATTAATTACATGTTTTTCATTTTGTTTCAGCTTGTGTATGAATTGCATGGATTTATGATGGTCAATCATTGTGCAAGTAAAATGGGGCCATTACGTTGAGAGTAAACATTTTGTCTGATATTCAATGAAACATCCTTCAATAGGTCTACCAAATTAATTACGAAAAAGGAAAAATTATGCTGAACGTGACTTTCCACTGTCACATGTGGGTTATTATCAGACCAACATAAATTTGTATATTATTTACCAAGCAGGAGATTTTGTTCAATCCCGTTAGCAGCACTTTGAGTTATAATTACTCTCAGGAAGGATTGAGGGCAATAAAAAACTGCAATGCAATTGATTCTGCCAATATTTCGTATCTATTTCGATACTTCCTCAGGGCGAGTCGTTAAATTGCAATGAAACTAACGAAAAATCGGAAGAACATTGTCAACAAACCGCATGCAAAAAATAACAAATATTTATACTGTTTCTTCTCCCGCTACCGCCTCTGGTTCATCTTCTAAAGTGGTCTCCAATAAATTCATTGCTTTACTAGAAAGCCCGGATATATTGCTGACATCACCATACATCTTCATTACTTTTCTCGCAATAATTTTAGCATTATCTGTCATGTTTACAGCTGATATCTTAGCAATAGTTGGAACCTTCCAAATGTCATGATCACAAATGAGTGGATTTCTGGTGACAATCCACACACAAACTAAGCTCAAAAAATCATGATTTCCAGTAGCCATATTGCAATTGGCTGAATCAACTAGCAATCTTACCCATGGCCAACTAACTTCAGGAGCAGCCGGGTCTCCAAATTTCTTTAGAAAGTTCACAAGAGATTCTATGCTGGTCTTTGTGAAAGACAAGTATGACACCTCTAGCAGCATATTGTTATTTACACAACATGCTGCTGAGATATTTCAATGATTTCATATTTGTGATATGTCGTTAGGAACCAGTCTTTTATGGCTGTGCTATGGATAGGTACACAAGTGCTCTACAAAGAATAATTGCCACAGAGCTTCAGAATAATTCTTTGTGGAATGCATGTGTATGTGCAACCTGTACATTTTGGGATCTGCTTTTTTGATAATTTTTTTTGTTAAAGTTCCCAAAATGTAACTCTTCCTTGCTTATTTTCTGTGTACTGCATATTATGTTACTGTTCACACGATCATTTTGAGTCATTCAAACTTCTGTATAACTAACATTTTTAAAATTGTAACCAAGAACTCAATTATGCGCAGGCCAAAATCCGTGCATAGGTAAATGGTACTCGGAAATGCAAGTTGTAATCAAAATATTCCACTAGTACATGAGCTATGGCCTCGCGGGCCATAGAAGATGTTCTCGCGGTCCGGATGCGGCCCGCGGGCAACCCTGTTTTAGAATATTGTAGGGAGCGGCTCTTACATAAACGTGTGGGTGTGCAGGGCATATGCGACAACTGGAAATTTGTCACGCTATTATTGATTTGGTCCAGATTTAGAAATAAAAGAAAAGTTCAATTTTAATCTTTACTTTAATTATCAATAATATCAAGAAAAATTACAAAAGAAACAATAAAACAAAATCTACAATCAAAATGTAAAACATATCAACCAAAACCTAATAAACAAAATTTATCAAATAGAACTTATTAAACAAAATTTATCAAACAAAACTCATTAAACATAATAACAAAACGAGACATACCAAACAAAATAGAACATAAGCAATTAGTACAATTATACAATGAAATTACTCGCAAAGGGTTCGAAATCTCAGCGTTGCAACGGGCTTCTTTCGACCTACTATTCTACTTCTCCCTTTTGAACTCCATGTCAGGTCTGACTCGATTCTCTTCTGGACCTTAGATTCTTCTTTGTTTCTCTCCTTCACTGGATCTGACAGCTTCCAACTTCTCCAGTCACTTTCTGTCCAAAACCATGGGCTCAGTTATCCAGTAATTGACCAATTAAGGAAATTTTCGTAAATAAATTATTATATTTGCCTTAGTTTTTAGTTTTAAATAAAATAAAAAATACCATTACGTTCAACTATATTTTAAGTTTTATTAACAGTTAACAAAAAAAAGAAAAGCTTTTATTTCAAGAAAAAAAATTAAATGTGCAAAAATTCCTGATTTTCCAGTGGTTGACCATATTTTTTCCATTAGTTGACCAGTTGTTAAGAATAAGGAATAAAATAACAAATTAATACACTTGTACCATATACATACAAAAACAGTTTTACAAACAGTCGGTTTCAGATAATTCATACTTAGATTTTTTGTTCTTTTTCTGTTTGACTATTTTTTTCGGGATTTTTTTATTAGTTGCTTGCAGATGCAGTTTTTTATTTATAATTTATAATGTCCCCACAGAAACGTAATGATTGGGGTATCAGAGGAAATAAATCTCTTATCATCATTACTGCTCAATGAAATTTTGTTTATATTCACTAAATATAATTGATGATTATTTGAACGAATATTATTGAAATTGCTTAATTTAGTTGAATCGTTAAATAGAGCGTTTTCGAAATCTTTAAACGTTAATAACTTTGAAGCGGTTCTTCCAATTCCTTTCACTTTAGCTGATTGTTTCGTAGCTCAAGTTGGTTAGGTTCTTTTTAAACACTCCCTTTCGTTTTTTTGACTTTATTAATCGTTAATAAAATAAAGATACACTTCTAAAAACACTGCTCAGCTCTACGCTTATTATATATGTCCGCTATATGAACAACACACCCGGAATATATCTCGAGCACGCGTTGCCCAGCGGCACGGTGGGTTGCCTAAACGCTCGGCGCTTCCTTCTCCCCGACACTGATATTTCTTTATTATTAATCTTTAATGTGTATACTTTAGCTCTTAATGTAATAAATTCCGTTAGAATACCTCCCTTTCATTCATCTCTAAATTTACCTGGAACTTTTTTATTCATCAAAGGAATTTTCCAAATGTTATTAGAAGACAGATCTGAGGTATCAAATAAATCAATATTATCGCGAATAACATCATAAATAGAATAATTTTTAAGCTTGCATTTAAATTTATAAATTAAGGAATCTGTATCCATATACATAAGTTGAACATGAAATTTACTATCTAGAATTTGTTTAACAAAATCGTAGTGAAAGGAATACATTAATGTTTTCGATAGCTCCAATACAGTAAAACCTATATAAATAGGTTTATTAAAAATTATTTCTGTTTTTGCTAATTCAATTGTGAAA